GGAGAATAACACAGCAGTTTCACAGTATGAAGAAGTCGAAAGAAACGACGAAAGGGAAGAAAATCAATGTCCTGGTAATGAAATCTCCCCTGATGTCGTTGGAGCATTTTTCACCTTCCATCTAGCGAGCCATACGACAGACTGTTGTTCCAACGGCCCAATGCGCCAATGCGTCGAGGACAAGACAGTACGGAGTAGATATTGCTGAATGAGGGCACGCGAGAAGCTAGATGTCAGATCTGCTGCGGAGCTTCCCAATAAGACGGAACGATCAAACAAAAGCCAGTACTCTGTATCACGTTCAATTATGCACTCTGATGAAAGAGCACTGGGCTCTTGCTTACTCCACGAGTAAATGTCATCGGGTCTCCCTACATTTTCCAGTGAGAATCTCAGAATAGACCAGCCCAGAAACGTGAATTCCGAATTAGATGTCCGTTATCAGGCTGGGGATGATGATGATGATGTCAACCCCTTTCTCTTCCGGTCTGTGCTTTCGCTAGTTCAAGCCAGAATCCCTGGATCCGTGTGCATGGGACAGCTATTGACAGCCACATGGTTCCAGAAGAATTCGATGACGACTCGACGAGAGAATCCTATGCCGTATTGACCTGCCGATGGAATACCTGATTAGCTGTACGTCGTGTAAAAATAGAAGAGACCGGTTTCTAGAATCTGAGAGGAAGACAGTTAGCTCTCACTCACTCTCTTTGCCCTCGTCGATAATCTCACGACGCCACAGTACATTTTAGGCTCGTGCATGAAGGCGGTTGATGTTATGTTGTGCTGTCGAGGCCGTACTGGTAAAGCGTTCCCGTGCTCATTCTCGTGCTCGTGATTGCTATGTTGCACGTGAGGGGAGGGCATAGAGGTCCATACTCCGTATTTTTCTTTTACCTAAAAAGGAGCAATTCTAATCCTGAAACCGGTAAACCATGCACAGAAGAGAAGATGAATTAATTGAATTGGTCTTGTGCCTGACCTGTTGTCTGTAAAAACTTTTTCCACATTTGCACTGTCTATTTATTACCTGTTCTTTTTGATGGATGCATTTCTTGTTTAATGCTCTACATTTCTTCAAAAAAAAAAGGAAATGAAGAAAGAACCTTTTATATAATGTTAATTGACGAGTAAAATGGGACGGGATGTCATTGTTAGAAGAGAATACTGCTTAGCTGTACGGCTCTTGATCTGATAAATAATTATTATATAAATCTTACCTTCCCGAACCCGGCGAACCATTGATCCAGCTCTCTCCAAACGTCGTACGGAGTATATCCACGCAAAAGTTGGAATGGATCTGTAATGACGAAATTGTAAAACCGATCTGTTAACCTAAAAAATTCCCAGAAGCATCCTAAAGGCAAGAAACCTGGTGACATGCTGCGGACCCAGCCTCCAGAAGCCGCATAATTTTTAAGGCATAAAAGTTCCAAAAAGTTCTTTCAAAAAGAAAAAAAAAGGAAAATCTTAATGTTTAATTTAAAAATAAAATATATATTTTTTTCTTTTAGTTAAAACTATGATTATCATGTCCTAAAAAAAAAACCAACCTCAATCAATGATCATTTCATAAATGATTTTGTCTCGTAGATGGCATATTATATCCCTGTCATCAAGAATTATTGCGACTGAAACAGCTGTTGTAATTTTAGAAAGAGCCGCCCTCTCATCAGACGAAAATGCTACGGGAAAGTGTTCCTCCAAAAATTGGTTTGGTATTTGCTAACTTGTCCTTGTAACTATATATACCTACAAGTTGTATGTAATGAGATCGATCGATCAATCGGATTAATAGAAAATAATGTTCTACTATGTATTGAGCAACTGAAAACATATCCTGTATCTTAACGTTCCACGGTTCCAAGCACTCTTAAGTACGACCTTACTATTCCCCGCTTGGAGATCCGCCGACATGAGGTTGCAGCCGCAATTACCTACCTTTTAAAGGCTTAGTTGCCTACGTAGGCACAAGGCACTGTTCTTTTAGTGAGCATAAGTCGGTTTTTTTTTCTACAAAAACAGGAACAAAACTGAAACCTTATTTGTGAAGAGATGCATGGCTGTTAGCTGGAAAAAAGCTTTTCCTACCGTTTAGATCAATCATTCTTCCCTTATACTACTTCAACATTTGATCGCTATGCAGTTTGATTAAGTTATCGACTTAACAATTCGATAATGAATGTGATTTCTCTTGGCCTTTGTTTCCCCGCCGACATGCGCTCCTTCCTCAACCTTCTTGGGGCAGATCCCGCGCTGGACCATCTCCATCCATTCGAAACATCGTGGCTCTTCCCACCAGGCGTGTTCGCCGCGCTGCGCGCCCTGCTCGCCCTCTACGTGTTCTTCTGCATCTTCTTCATCTTCGGCTGGGAGGGCACGCACGGCGCCGGCGTCGACATCGGCCAGTCTTTCAGCTACTTCACCTGGCTCGACTTCTGGGGTCTGGGGTTCTACTTCCTCGTATCGGCGGTGCACGGCTTCTGCTACGCGCGAACAGGCCGGTCGGTGCTCTTCGACCGACTGCCTCGCGTCTTCCGCGCCCTGCACAGCCTGTACTATTCCTGCGTCACGACCTTCCCGTTCCTCGTCCTGATCGTCTACTGGGCCATCCTGTACCAGCCGCCCTGGTTCCCGCTCGTCTTCGAGGCCTGGCAGAATATCTCCCAGCACGGCCTCATCGGCCTCTTCGCCCTCCTCGAGATCTTCCTCCCGACCACCCGGCCCCATCCGCTCCTCAACCTGCCCTTCCTCGTCCTGATCCTCCTCCTCTATCTGGCTCTCGCCTACCTCACCCACTACACCGAGGGCTTCTACACCTACTCGTTCCTCGACCCGGGCGTTCACGGCGAGCACAGCGGCCGCGTCGCGGGCTACTGCTTCGCCATCCTCGCTGCCATCATCGTCATCTTCGCCGTGACCTGGGCGCTGATCTGGTTCCGCCGTCGACTCGTTGGTGGGAGGATCAAGAGGTCGAAACGTGATCCTGAAGCTGTGTATGGAACCCGACAGCAGGGAGTAGAAGCGGCGGGACCGGCGGTGGCAGAGAAATGAGCCGAGACGAGAGGGAGAGAATAAGTTAAGCAAAGAAAGGAAAATCATGATATTTTGTTTATGACCTCTTTTGCCGACGACTTTCGCCGCAACATGGTATTTCAGAGAGTCTGAGATGATACCCCACATGCTGTACCCAGTAACCTACTGTACAGTCTTATATTTTTAATGTCTTATGGGAAATTCCAGTGATGTCAAGCTATTTCGATTTATTGTCTTCAATACTATCATACACCATATGTGCAGGTAGATCAGAAGGATGTGCAACAAGTTTCGTGATGATTCAATCGAAATCAAATCATCGACAGCAAGAGATGGATGGCCAGGGCTGCCATTCATCAACTTGCTGCACCAAAACCATGTTTGCTTGTCCTTTGCTATGAAGCTGACGTTCATCCATGTCCGGTGTACAGAAAAAGATTCTCAAGGTTAGATATCCCACTTGACGGATAATTAGTCCTGCAGGAAATCCACTCCTCCCAGACTGGATGCATCAGAGAAAGGTAGCTGTATGACGGTAAAATATAGGGGCTCAATGAACGAACAGAGCCCCTTGTCTCACAGTCCTGTAGAGACTCTCCTGTAGTGAGTGGAGAAATAGAAAGAGGGGAGTAATTATGGAATATATGTAGTCTTGAGTAATAGAAGGGACATGTCATAAAACCTTGCCTGAAGAAATCAATTATTAATCGTTTCGCGCTCACCTAGTGGAGAGTTCAACAGTTGTGAAAGATAGTGGCAGATAACACAGATACGAATAAGCAGCTGACCAGGACGAGTGCTAATTAGACCTTTTCCCATCCGGTCTCGCTGCTAGTGCCGCTTCCTGAACCATCCGAACTTGCAACGGAGTGGCGAGGCTTTCCAAGCCCAAGCATCCACCCAACCAGGCTGCTAGGAACCCAATCTCCGATGATGCCGTACGTACGGGCGCCGCGTCCAACGTACACGACAGGCTTCTTTCGCTTCTTCTTGCCAAAGATAGATTTTGGCGCGGGAGCCAAAGAGTCGAAAATCGCATAGTGCAGATTTCGCGCTGGCGACCCTCGGATTGCGCTGGGTCCGGCCGACGCGACTGGCCTCTGCTCAATGCTGGACATGTATGATGGACCATACAAAGCCCGCTGCTGTGGACTCCATGACAAGATATCAGTGCCAGCAACCTGGCCATGCGCCGATCGATACTGAGGGCCAAGATCGATATTGCCGAGCTTCAACTCGACGACATCAATATTGCATGGCGAGCCATTAGAAAATTGCAGCAAACGCAATTCTTGACGGAGTGAAGTAGCAAAGCCTGAGAGCGCGCGCGTCACCGCGACTTCAGGCCCCGCAAATGGTGCTGAGAGGGAGGATGAGATCGACGGATAGAGGAAAAGGATGGTGCTGCTGGTATTCCGGTGAGTAAGAAGAGGAAGGAACATTTGTGTTATCAATATTGGCGTTAGGAGACGCGTGTTGACAGTGTCCGCCCAGCTTGATGCTGGGATGGTGGGTACTGGTCCTGTCGGATAATTTAAAGAAGGGAGAAGGATTAAGCCACTGAGTTGGCAGGTGTGTGGTTGAACCCCGGGGATGGGGTATTGCGGTTGACTAATAAGGGAGTGTATCGTATTAAGAGAAGGATGGATCCCAGAGGGCGACGACGGCGTCTCCAACTATGTTAGCTAACCTATTATCACGCGATTCGCAGTCATAACTTACTGTCGTCAAGTCGAGATGTAGAGCCCGGATATCCGATCGGTTCTCTGATTGAACAATGTGTTCCTCCTCTTCAAAGAAGACAGTCACATATACAATAAAGCCGCGACGTTCGAGATCAGCGGCTATCGACCTCGTCATGGGCTCGTGAGGAGACCCAGCGACAACTATCCCATAACTCAGTTTTCACCATCCGCATGGAAGTGTCCTGGACAACATACCGACTATCTCCTTTCGTGCGCCATTACCCGCTCTCTTGGCTCTTCTTTTCCTCGTTTCAAGGGCTTTACTGCCAAGTACCAGAAGGCTGCCGGTCCCGAAGAAAGCTATGATCGCAGCGGTCCATGCTCGATTCCGCACCATCCAGTCGTATATGCGCTCACCCAGCGATCGGGGAGGAGGGGGGCGAAGAATATGAATCTCATTCGTAGTTGGCCTGATAGCATCGGGAAAGTAGCGCGAAAGCGCGTCTCGAACTACTAACGCAGCGTGGTCGACATGACGGTCGATGGCCTCCGCGACCTGAGCCGAGTATCGCTTTACGTCATTTGGGATCGAGGCGAGCTGGGAGAGAAAACGTCAGCGCATGCACGTATTGCCGTCAAGTTGCATCGCTACTCACATAATCAAAGAAGAACTGGTCGTCGCTCGTCATCTCGGGCTATCAGAGAGAAAGGGGCTGCAACGAGCTGAAGTGACGTTGATAGCGACAAGAAGAAAATCGCGATGGGAAGACTCGATACGATTATCTCCGCAGTCACATGACTGATATCGGCCTATCGGGCTTCTTTTCCTCGAGTACAGAAACGCGGCCGCGCATGAGGCAAATGTCGCCAGGATCCCTTGGGAGCGTGTCATCCCATTTTAATGATTTTATCAAGATGATCCGACGAGATGGATGGCCATAAACGGCATGGGAAAGCCGTGCGATCGGCTACAGCATGCACCGAGTGCCAGCGCCGGAAGCAAAAGGCAAGCCACGTGCCGAAGGCATAAACAAGCTATGCAAGGGAAATTCTAATGATCTCATCAGTGCAACCGTGAGTGGCCGTGTAACCACTGTCAGACAAGGAGGATCTCCCATCTTTGTCAATTCATGTCCAGAAGACCCACCAGAGCTGTCAATTTAGCCAGCAGCCGAACAAGGTCTGCATGAGATCCATGCGCACTAGTTGGCTGCTACCTAATGCGAGACCAGGACATTATCACGAAGCCGCAAAGAGGACACTGTGAAATGCGAGCAGGATGATTTGGCCCTCTCTGGCTTCTCAACAGTTGCTGGCGAGGAGGGGTTTAGAGTTCTAGGGTATCTTCCTAACAGCCAGGACTTGCAGGGGGAATACGCTAGTATTGAAGTAAGATCTCCCAAAACCAAGCTGCTGAACCTCTGCTCAAAGCTTCAAAGGGCTCCAATGTTTTGAATGGTGTCTTCTCTGTGGAGATGGAGAGCGTTTTACTCGCTATCCCTCCAAAGCCGTATACAGGTAGGAGAGCATGAAAGCAACCATAATTCATAGTCTGCTCACGTCGTTTAAGATATTTTGGTACAGTATTTTCTGAGTGACGCCAACTATCAGTATTATGTTATCTATCCACCAACATTTTCGCAAGAGTATTCTCTTTGGTGGACAGACAGAGCTAGCGGCCGGAAACTCAGACCAGAGTTCACATGTCTTCTATTGCGTGTCTGTGCCTGCTCTACCCAGTACCTTGGTGCAGAAACACGGCAGAAACTCGAATTACAGTTGGGTGAAAGCATCCAAACCCTTACCGAGCGCTACCATCATGCTGCTCAGCAGCTAAGTAATAATATCCGCCCAGGAAAAGGTGGCCTAACACAAGTCCAGCAATTGCTCCTCGCGGCATCCTGGTTGAAGTCTGAAGCTATGTTTACTGAGTCGTGGCATACCTTGTGCTCTGCTATACACGAGGCTCAGGAACTAGGTATTGTGAAACTTGTTATATGCATGCAGAACTGCATTTTGGTTTGCAATTACAGCAGAAATTCCAAAAACTGACATATTTTATTGGACAGGAATGCATAAGGACTCTTCCACACAAGGAATTAGTGAGTTTGACCGTGAGATGAGAAGGCGGATCTGGTGCATTCTGTACACTTGGGATTGGTAAGAATCCTCGGCATTTCCCCCCCCTCCTAGATACGAGCATTGCTTACAAACAGAAAGGCAAATGTCTATGTTGCTATCCCGTCCGCTCATCATTAACCACAGCTGCTGCTCATTTGAATTGCCAAACCTGCGGTTGGAGAGTACTCCAGACACAGATCCCGATTTGCCCTCTCCGATAACTCACATGGCTCTTCAGTGTCAATTAGCCCAGATGTTGTCCAAAATACCTGGGGTGACAGGTGGCATCCTACCTGCAGATCAAGCGGTCACCATCCAGCAAGAAATCGAAAAGTGGTTCTCGTCGTTCCCCCCTGCGTATAGAGTTACCGATCCAGACACGCAGTGGGACGAAGAGCATCGCTATGTTATTCTGCAGCGCGGCCAACTGCACGCTGTGGGCTATATGATAATGCTTCACCCACTGAAACCGTTTCTCACGAGGAGTGTTGATTCAGGCCTGTCTGATATGGAGAGGAGTCTCCGGCCAGCGGCTGTTGACTGCTCCCTCAAACTAATGCAGGCTTCACGCCAACTTTTTGATTGCGTATTCCCCATAAATGCAAAGTTTCATTTCGTCATTTTCATAATCTTTGACACAGCGGCTGTTTTATGCTCTGCCATAACGCACGACACTAGCTGCAGCCTTCCCCGGCGACACGAGGTCATCGAGGCCATCGGGCTGCTTCTCAACATGATGGAACGGCTCAGCCATATGACAAAGACAGGAGCAATATGCTATGCGACTCTCGCCACGCTTGTGGCGAAGCTCTCCTTGTCTTCTCAGGAAAAAGCATTATTGGATTCCGTGTCCCCTGAGAGTTTAAATTCAAGCACAGGACCTCTTGGAACTCATCAGACCTCAGCTGGATTCGACCCCGGGAATATCTCTTCCACACATACCATGCCTTCCACTCCAACATCACAAGGTTTACATATCCCAGAGACGGAAACATCACATACTAGTGGGATTAATGATATTTCTTGCATGGATGTTGGTGAGCTGGGCCAAATATGGGACTGGGAGACACTCGATCTTAATTTGTCATTTCCACCAGCCCCCTAGAATGCAAGAACGTATGAATATGCTCGATTTCTTGGTGTCCATTACCCGCAAACCGACAGAATACAATCGATCTCTGTATAAAATGAAGTATTAGATGCCCTCGAAAGTGGTTTCAATTATTGAAATCCTGAAAGCCAAAGGTGAATTCGCGATAAGCAATGGCTGTCTGGTTACCCTTTTTGGATAACAGCATATATTCTGCCGGCAGAACCACCGAACTGTTAATGGCGGTGTGTCTTGATTTCCTTATTCAACAGGCGGTATCATAAACACACTAACCTAAATAGGAAAGTCACATGACTAGAAACCTCGCATCAAAAGTCACGGATTTCGGGTCTTGTCCGACACGCCATTTTCCATCTGGACTTTCGGACAGAAGTGCACAAGAGGTCGGTGTAGGTGCTTCTACGCTGGAGATCACCTGACCTGACCCTTACATCAACCCATCACTTTGTCTGGCATAGGATTTTTCTGCTTTGATGTTCGGACAAAGTGCACCCCCTGCCTAGCTGATCTTACCCAACTCCTTATTACTGTGAAGGACTAAGATTTGACTCACTCATACTGTGATCAAAACAGCAATTTTCACTAGAAATGGGAATCTACACCTGTGGTCTTTTCCTAAACTCTGCTCCACCTGCTGACTTAGCTATATTCGTCACGTGACTGTACCGTGCATTACAGTTTTCGACAACTGCTGTTCATTCTACAACCTTGCGAATGGAAATAAGAAACTCGAGTACATCTACAGATCATGGATGACGAGTCTAAATTGGTTTTTTTTCGCTTAATGAGTAGGCAGTTTTTCTTTCCATGCTCTCTTTCCATGCTCCTACAGGATGGCAGCCCCAGGACGGTGTAGGTACAATACAGGTATCCCCGACGAATGATGACGGCTGTATCCTCTACAGTTAATCTCACCACACCTGCCGATACCTCCTTCTTTGGCATCATTTCTATGGAGATTAATCGGAGATAAACAGCATCGCCGAGTTCTGCACGGTGTGATCCTTCCAGCCGTCCGTGATGGCATCTCCGATTCACATCGGAAAGCTCGTGGATTTTCGGGCTTCAGATTTCCTGATGTCAACTATATAAAGGTCGCTTTCCTGACCATGTCTACTGTGGAAAACAGATTCCAAGTCATTTCCAACGTGGTACAGATTAATTTGAATATCAGTTTTTTTTTGCTCAGCGCCACCATGTCTCGTCGTCAAGTCCAGTTTCTCAGCCGAGGAATCACTATCGTCGGCGACCTCTATCTCCCCGCCCAGACATCTCCTGATCGCAAACGTGCCGCCATAGTGGTTAGCCATCCGATGGGAGGAGTCAAGGAGCAGACTGCCGGTCTGCATGCAAGGCTTCTTGCTGAAGCAGGATTTGTCACCCTCGCCTTTGACGCTGCGTATCAGGGCGAAAGCGGAGGGAGCCACGGGGCCTGGAAGACCCATATCAGAGGGTCGAGGATGTCAAAAGCGCGGTAACCTATCTGTCAACCCTCACGGAGGTTGAACCTGAGCGCATTGGAGCATTGGGGATCTGCGCGTCTGGAGGCTATGTCCCATTTGCTGCGCAAACCGACTTGCGGATCAAGGCCGTGGCCACAGTCAGCGCAGTATGTGCCGGCACCCTCTGGCGCGAAGGATTGAAAGGCACTGCGGCCATTAGCGATCGGGCGACAGTCCTCCAGGGTCTGAAAGAATCCGGCAGGGCTCGACTCGCAGAGGCCAAGGGAGAGCAGCCTCCTCTCCTTCCGATTATACCAGACAGCCCTGACAACATCCCAGAAGGCACCCCATGTCTCTTCCGAGAGGCGAGCCAGTATTATCGAACGCCACGAGCACAGCATCCCAGATCGACCAACCGCTTTCCCTCACGGAGCGTGGATCTCATGGTGAACTATTCGTCATACACGTTCAACGACTTGATCTCTCCGCGCCCGTTGCTGATGATCGCAGGGAGCGAGGCGGACACCCTCTATTTTAGTCAGGAAGGAATTGAGCGCGCAAAAGAGCCAAAGGAGCTGTTTTTGGTCAAGGGGAAGACTCATGTGGGATTGTATGATGATCTGTCGGAGACCCTTCCAAAGTTGGTTGACTTTATGGAAAAGGCGTTGTGTCAATGAGTCCATGTCCGGAAGTATCATGGGCGAGTCTAGAGATGTTGGGATTTATAGACAAGTTGAATATATTCACTTCGGAATCAGCAATCAACTTCTTTTCCATTACGGCACCATAGTAGTTGTCCTTAATGCTTAATTCCACATGATCAATAATAGCGAAATCGGAAAATATTGCCTATCCAGAACCTGTGAATCAGCAGAGATAATCATTGCCTTCAAACATTCAGGCCGAACCCAGATGACATTAGATGATAATGGTCACGGTCAGTGGAGGTAAAATATCATGCGTTTGCCTGGTAGCCCAGCCAAGAACACCTGTTCTGGGAATGCTTGATTATATCTCTATCCTTGGAGACGTATATTTCTGCTGACGCAAATACCATAAGGTATGTCCACAGAACAGAAGACTCAACTGGTGCATAAGAAAGGGAATACTACAACACGATGAATAAATCAAACTTTTAAAAATCAAACAACCAAATCAAAGTAAAATAGGCTCCGAAATTATGTAATTACTCGATACAGTGTGTATCATTGATTCATCATCATCTGGCATCATCCATCTTATAAGGTATCTTATAAGGTGCTGATAAACTACTTGATCCCGGCGTCTCAAGTGGAATTCGCGACCACCTTCTTTAATGAGGCATAGCATCGATGTGCCTAGCACTCATATCTCTAAAGGCGGGCCACGCAGACAAATGAAAGTCTAGCGGTTAATCGGTTCAAGATAAGCGTCGAGACTTATCAGGCATGACCCCTCATTCGCAGCGGCCGGATCATACGCCGCTACATCTCAACGGCGAATCTCCTCATCTACACAAAGTCCCCTTATCACGCAATGACTGGACCAAAGCACCACAGGAGTGCCTACTGTGGGCACAAGGCAGCGTTGCTGTGTCTCAGTTGGGGTAGCTCCTCTGGCCTCTCTAGATAAACTATATATCTCAAGAAGACATGGGCCATTGATATCCAGACAGCTACTTCTCTATCCTCTTTCCAACGCGCCTCAGCTGCTGGAACGCACCTTTATAATTTCTTTACCTTGTCTACCACAGACATGGCACGTAAACCCTGGCAAGAGGTTGCGAAACTTGCGCAAGAAGCAAGAAACAAATCTATTGCACTCGTCCAACCGCCTGTTCCAGACGTTCCGGCCGATCTGCCACTGAACGTTTCAGAGATCCCCAGACAGCTTCTTACCCCTTCGGAAATCGAGATAACGGAAACGCCACCGGAAGCTCTCGTTCAGAAGCTTGCTTCGGGGGAACTGACAAGCGTAGCAGTCATCACTGCTTTTCTACGTCGCGCTGGTCTTGCTCAGAAGCTGGTAAACCTTGAGCTTATAAAGTATGGGAGAATCGAGTTAACATCATTCACAGACCAACTGTATAACCGAGCTTTTGCCCAATGAGGCCATTGAACGGGCTCAATTCCTCGATAACTATCTGAAAGAGCATGGAAAGCCAATTGGCCCCCTCCACGGGATGCCGATCAGTGTCAAGGAGCACATTGGTATGAAAGGCCGCGGCCTGAATGCCGGATTTATCGCCTGGTGGGATCATGTCGCAGATGAGGATGCACATGCCTTGCAAATCCTGTGGAAAGCAGGCGCCGTCTTTTACGCCCGTACAACCCAACCCCAGACGCTCATGCACCTTGCTTGTTCGAGCAATCTCTACGGAGAAACGGTCAACCCCTTTAACCGCCGCCTGACGAGCGGAGGCAGCTCTGGCGGAGAAGGAGCGCTAATCGGTTTACGTGGGAGCGTCCTGGGACTTGGTACCGATATTGGTGGAAGCATCCGCAGTCCTGCGGCGAACAATGGAATCTACGGTTTGCGCCCTACTGGCGGCCGGTTTCCTTTTGATGGCCTAAAAGCGGCTCGAGGGCCTTTCGGCATTGTCCCTGTCATGGGACCCCTGAGTGCCAGTCGGGAAGGCTTGCGAATGCTGATGAAGACAGCCATTGATGCGAAGCCGTGGCTCAAGGAGACATCGCTGTTTCCATTTCCATGGCGGGACCAGGTGAGCTACCTTGACGACGAATCTGGTAAGAAGAAGCTCAAGGTAGGCGTCATTTGGGACGACGGTGTCGTTAGGCCCCATCCTCCGGTCACAAAAGCCTTGAAGGAGGTCGTGGAGAAGTTGCAGACGGTACCCGGAGTTGAAGTGGTGGATTGGAAGCCGTACAGGCATGACTATGCGTGGGAACGAATTGCCTCTCTCTACTACTGCGACGGTGCCCATGAGGGCTTGGACATTTTAACGGACGGCGGTGAGCCCCTGCTGCCGCTGTCGGAATTCATTATCAAGGAGAACCCTTATCGACGGCGTCTCCAGATGGAGGATCTGTGGGATCTCTTGGCGAAGAATGAGGAGTACAAGCGAGCTTATGCGAAGCTCTGGAACGAGACTGCCACAGGCGTTGATGCGGACGGTCATCCGACCGGCATGGTCGATGTGATCCTCTGCCCTATAGGTCCTGGGGCTGCGCCGCCTCTGAACCAAGCTCGATACTGGGGATACACCGCTCAGTGGAACTTGCTCGACTATCCAGCTGCTGTTTTCCCCGTTACGCAGGTGAAACCGGATGTGGATCATATTGAAGCGGATTATAAACCAAGGAATGAGAAGGATGAGTTCAATTACAAGCTCTGTGAGTTTTGAGAATCCATTCACTTTGGCAGAATCACTGATGATGGTTGAGATGATCCGGAAGTCTATCGTGATGCTCCTGTGTCTCTTCAGCTGGTTGGACGGCCATTCGAGGACGAAAAGGTGTGTATTCCCTGACAGTTCGAGATTACTTTCTGGTCCTTTTTTTTCTCTAGTACTTTTTTATTTCCTATTATTTTTTGAACAAGAAAAAGCTGAGTATTCTTTTAGGTCCTCGAAGCCTTGGATTTCATTCACGAGCACATTCCGTTGCCATTTTTCTCCAGATGAGCGACGTAGACAGAACTTCGGAAATATTCATGAAGTTTGGACTTTGATAACATGCATTTTCTTCTCTCTCTTTCTTTCTTCTTAAGCTTGAGACAGTTTAATGTTCATTAATAGCTGGGGAATGTCCGTCGATACAGTTATATAAATATACAAAATACATCATAGAATGCTCTTATGATCGTGCAACAAACAGAACACAGATTCCATAGCCACAAAAGCATCATGAATCAATCCACTATCATGCTAGTACATTCCAGATGGCAAATGAAAAGTGCATTTGTCAGCCAGGCAGCGTGGGTGAATGTGTAGGTATACAGTGATCACGTGATACACCGCCACCGGCCAACTGGCCGCAATCCTTAACTCCGCTTATCTGCGGCGCGTTGCCGCCCTGCGACAGCTGGAGCTGGCTGCGACATTGTCCATCTTCCTATTCAATCCAGTCTTCCCTTTCTCCTTGTTTGTTTTTTTTGTATTTTTTAGATCCTTTCTTTCTTTCTTTCTGTATTTGTTTTTTCTTCTTCAAGTTCAATATTCCCAGCGTTCCTGATCCCTTCTGCTCTGCTGACGTGTCGGCGGCTGCCTGCAAGTCAGTGTGCCCTTTGCCTCCCAAACTCAATCAGCTTACAACGCTCTCTTTGGCTCTATCAACGTCTTCCAACTGCATCAAAAAGGCCACTTTTCAGTCAGTAATTTTGAATCAGGGGAGGGAGACGTTTTATTTTCTGCGATCTAGTAGCCATCGAGATCGCTCAGGATGCGGGAGCTCGATCCCTTGGTGCTGGAATATCAACATGACAAGCATCGGCCTAGAGAATCCGAGGCCCTCCTTATGCTCCGCAAAGTGGCTTCTCTCGTGAAGCCAATCATGCGGCAGCGGAACTGGAAAGTAGGAACTTTATGCGAATTTTACCCCAGCGAACGGAATCTCCTAGGGTTGAATATCAATGCCGGGCAAAAGATTTGTCTCCGGCTGCGATATCCTACCGACGAGCGCCAATTTCTTCCACTGGAGAATGTTGTTGATACCATGTTGCATGAGTGAGTGGCATTTTCTTCTATTGACAGCCCTTCTGTTCTAATGAGAAACAGACTCTGCCATATTGTCCATGGACCTCACAACCAAGAGTTCCATGCGCTTTGGAATCAGCTCCGTGACGAGCATGAGGAGCTTACCCGTAAAGGCTACACGGGTGAAGGGTTTCTTTCAGAGGGACGGCGCCTTGGAGGTCGCAAGATTCCCTTGGACGAAGCCCGCCGGTTGGCGCGTGTCGCGGCGGAACGGCGACGTACGCTGTCGGCCGGGTCTGGTCAGAGGCTCGGTGGCGCTCCCATCATGAAGGGAGCTGATATTCGCAAGGTTATTGCGGACGCTGCTCAGCGACGGATTGAAGTGATGAACGGCTGCGCTTCAGGGACGAAAGACAGTCAGAGGCTTGCAGAAGAGGCTTCCCGGAATGGATTCAGGACAAAAGCCGAGGAAGATGATGCGAATGAGCGAGCGATCATGCAGGCTTACATTGAAATGATCCAAGAGGAAGAGCGGGAGAAATATGGACAATCATATATCCCACCCAGCCAGGAGAACCCTGCAGGACCTCGAAGTACTCTTTCGCCACCTCCAGTGCCGGAGCACAGCAAACCTCAGCCTCCACGGTCGTCATCAGACCATGATACAATCAGTACAACTCCAGTCAATAATGCATCGTATGACGACGCCTGGTCATGTCCGATTTGTACGCTGGAGAACCCACCAAACTTCCTCTGTTGCGATGCCTGCGGCTCTGAACGGCCACCGCCAACGTCGACGTCCAAGTCCAGACCGGAGTCGAACACAACACCAGCCAAAAACAAACCCGAAGGGAAGAAGAGCAGCACATCGAAACCTCTGAGCAGGCCGGCATCACAATATTCAGCAAGCAGCAGAGCCTTCAAGCCGCGGACAAGCGCTGCCGAAGCCCTCGCCAAGCTGGAGAGGAATACACCCAAGCGGCCCTTGGGCTGGATCTGTCATGTCTGTGGAACGTTTATGGAAACGGAGTGGTGGACCTGCGCGAGCTGTGGGACGATGAAGCAGTCGTCGTGATGAATTGTATTTTATTATTCTTATTTTGTTTTTTTTTTTCATTATGATTTTTGTTTTCCTTGTAACGAGCATTATACCCTGTGGAGTTTGATGAAATGAAATAAAGAGCGTGTCATAGAATTCCAGTCACGAAGTGGATGTCCGGCAGCAAAAACAAATATCATGTGTCCTTTCATGAACAGTCTTCAACCGATGAAAAATAATGCCTTCAACTATATTTATTCAATTAATTGTCTGCACTAACAAAACCAAAATTCTATCAGTGTAAGCTTTTGATTTGAACAAAGCTGGTCAGATGCAAGTCCTCCTCCATGGTCTTCTTCTCTTTGCATCCTCGTCGAGGTCTCTCTCTCGCTGGAATCATTGCTATGCTGTTCAAAGTTGACTAGTGTTACGTTACGTTACGCCGCAATAGCGACAGTATCCTTGAAGAGTTTCCGTTGCTTTACCAAGAAAAGCAGAAAGCAGACATGGTCAGAAAACAATCAAAAAAAAATAAAAAAAGGACAGGGATAGATGGACTTACCGTGAAGCACACCGAAAGAACAAGGCTGACAGCAGCGCCAACATACACAGGGATAAACACCTTCTGAATCGCACCAACGATGATGTCGAGTGACTGTGCTCGAAGCCCCTCTGGCAGCGCACGGAAGTACGCGCCGCTGGTCCCTGAGATCGCCAGCTGCAGCTCGGCGCGAGAGACGTCTGGCAAGAGAGCGGACAGGCCTGCTATCGCGTCGTTGATGAACACGGCGCCTGCGATGGCGAGGCCGAATGCGATTCCTCCTAGTTGAGCTAAAAAAAAAAAGAGCAATCAGCCACATACATGCTTTAACAAGCCTTTCTTTTTCAATGCTCAGGCACTTACCAATCATCATGAAACTGATCGCATAGGCCATTTCTGCTGCTGGAACCACCGCTTGGATCACGGCGTATCCGGCCTGGATGAAGCAGCCCGTGCCAATGCCGACTAGTATTTCGAACCCGTAGATCTTGGCCTCGGAGGTGTCTGGCTTGATGCGCGCTGTTCTGAAGTCAGTACCCAGATTGCAGCAATTCTTGGACGAAGGAGGCGGAGGGGGAAATACATAATAAGACACCACCAATCAAGGCGAGAACACTTCCAAAGATGTACCATGGCTGGAAATAGCTGAAGCGAGACATGAGATGCCCATTGGCCAGAATCGCAGCGCTGAGGACGACGATGAGAGGAAGCAAGCGGACGGCTGCTCTGATGGCGTCATCGCCCCTGGTGAACTGGAAGTATAGCGGAACGTAATAGATGGGGATGAAACCCGCTGTGTTGACGGCCGACGCGCAGATGTAGAGGAGGACGGCGTTGATGTTCCGAAGGAACTGGCAGGGGAAGAGTCGGTCGCTGGTGTTGGTGAATATGGTCATGCCTTGCTGGATGCCGAAGACGATGAAGAGGACGATGGATACCGCGAAGAGGGCGATCGTCTGGCCGCTGTTCCACGGATACAAGGCTCCGCCGAAGTTGATGGCCATGATGATGGTGATGATGGCTCCGATGCTGAGGATCGTGCCGACGATGTCGAACTCGCGGACGAGGTTGGCGATTTTGGTGCCGGCGCGAGGCTTGAATGACGGGATGTAGAAGGAATAGATGGGAGCGAACAGGCCTGAGACGCAGAGGTTGATATAGAAGGCCCATCGCCATGTGGCACTTGATTCAACAAATGCACCGCCCACGACGGGGCCCAGGACAGTCCCAATGCCCCAGACCAGGCCGCTAGATAGCAGCGTTAGCATGGTTATGTTTATTTCCACGTGAGAAACTCACACAAAACTCAAGTATCCTGATCGCTCCCTATCCGAAGTATTGACCGAGAGGAGGGTCATGACGCCTAGATACATTCCGTTTCCGCCCATTCCAGCGAGGACACGACCGATGATGAGAGCATCCATGTTAGGAGCGGCACCACAAAGCGCGGATCCGATGTTGAAGAGCGCGGAGGACATGATGTATAGCCACTTGGCGTCGAAGAGGCCGTAGAGCTTGCCAAATGGGAGGACGACTGTTGCACCGCCTAGGAGAAACCTGTTCATGGACTTGATTAGATCCATTGACTTGGCATCACTTGAGAGATAAATCGAACTGAACTCACCCGACAGACAGCCATGGCAACTTGACGATATCTCCAAATCTGTTCACCGCAGCCTGGCCTATTTCTTAGAACTACTGGTGCAGGATTATAACTGGAGAAAGGATACCCACGGGCGTGATATCCGCAACGATGGTGTTGTCCAGCGAGTAGAGGAAGATGCTTGAAAGAATGGCGATGACGACTAGAAACCACTTGCATCGAGGTCAGCCACAGAATCCAGCAGCATTGGACGAGCCTTACGAGGATGCCATGGATCTGCCTTGGTGAGGCGTTGGGTTCCGCTTCCTGCGTATCGTTTCCTGGCGTGTTTGCCTCTAATTTGGGACCATCTTGAACAAGCTGTGGAGGCGTCTGCTCGCCTGACTTTTCAATCGATGTCGATGAAGAGGAGGCCATGCTTGCAGTTCTAGGAATTCTGGGAGTCTAGGAGGAAGAACAGAGGAAGAAAGAAGACGGTAGCAGTGAATATGAAGGAAATAAAGTGCTATGAACACACATACTGATTAGCTAGAGGAAACCACCAGATATGTACATACATGTCCATATGTGCTACGCATCGCAGTTGATTGGTAAGGTATTCCAAAAAGAGAAAGGAGCTTGAACAACACTGCTTAGAAATCAAAGGCTGCATGATTCCTTCGATCGTCATATTGTCAAACTGCTGGGAGTCTTTGTTTGTCCTTGGAGAGGTTGACTGCACCAAAAGCAGTAATTTGGCTCCATGGAATTAAATGACAGTAGGCTTTTGCAAGCATTCTCCCCGTTGTTTGGACTACGTAAACGTTGTAGAAACTGAGTATGTCCCGTCCATACAAAGGACTTCCGTATCTGGCAATCTTCATTTGTAATCCGCACGGCGCTAGACCATAATTGGTTCTCCGAGCAAATTTCCTAATTGGGAAGACCGCAGCCCCAATTTCTCAACTGTCCAGTAATTATTATCGATCTCTTGCGTCAGGGAAATAAACAGCAGAATGCCTGAGTCAGACATGAATGCAAGCGGGAAAAAAATATGGCTGTGGAATGGAATATTGAGAGGGCGTACAGTATGTAGAAAAATGGACAGGAGGAAATGTCGAGCTCGTTTCTCACACCCTTTGTTTTTTGAGTCAAACAATTCTTCCTCTTTCTCTTCTCAATACGGCGGATGGAAATACTAGTGCCGGTGTCTTGACTGAAGGAACTGCGCTTGTCTGGCGCTGGGCCCAGCTTTACCCCTGGATTACGGCTGGACTGGGCGATCCTGTTGACACAGCTCAGCTGGCTTTGACGAGATATCGAGATGGACTTGCTGATTGAATAATTCAAACACTCCAGCATAAAGTTAAAACTAACAAACTAACGGACAGACGATGCATCCCAGTTGCAACATAGCTCAGCTCATTACAAAGAACTGCAAGACCACGCGCAGAGCATTGTCAATCTCTGTTGCCGCCCTGCCCAGCCGCAGCATGACCGATTTTACCTTCGACCGCCGGGCCTCGCTGCCCGCGATCTGGATCACGCCGTCGAGACGGACGAGCAGGGCTCGAAAGTTGCGCAGCTGCAGCTTCAGCAGCACCCGGATCATGTGCACTTGCTCTTCGTCCGAATACGTGTTCTGGAACTCGGACGAGAATAAGTCAGGATTACAATTCGCGTTGCGACTGCTATCTGCGGCACAGGGCTCGGCCGATTCAGTGCTCTCCTCGGAGGAGGCCTGTCCTGACAGCCGTTGATTCGCCCTCTTAATCCTCTTGGAGATGCATTCGAACATCTCCGACAGGCGATCGCAGATGATGACCAGAACCGTATGGACCGTGGGGAGAAATCGGCAATTGGGGCAGTCCAGCGGCTTGCCGCACTGCGAAATGATCCATTTCTGCAGCTGGACCACCTGGTCTAGGGAAAGCGCCGTTATCCGGAAATCGTCGTCGTCGAGCTGCTGGACGACCCGGACCGTGCTGTGGATGCAGGGACAGCCAAGACTGCTGTTCCAGCTGGTGGAATCATCACGACTAAGGTCGAGGTTTGCCGGGTTCGACGGGGTTGGGATTCTGTTCTGTGCATCGGTCATTGGGAGGAGGTCTTGAATTGCTTGTTGTGCCCATGTTTCGTTTGTTAGCCATGCCGGTAGATTGTGCGCCAAGTTCGGCGGCAATAAATTATATTGCAGATGGGACATGTCGCCCAGATCACCAGGATATTGATTTCCTGGATCAGGATTCTCCATCTGATGACTTCGGTCGAGGTCCTCCATGTCCATAAGTAGCTGCGTCATGTCGTTATGAAAGTTCACTTCCGTATCATTAGTATCCTCTTGAGAGAATTAGGAGAACGAAATAAAACGTACTGTCAGAAGGATTTCCTTCCAAGCTGCCATTCGTATTATTACTATCAGAAGCAGATACTGTTGGTTCCTGCTGACGATCGCCTGGTTCGAGAGCATTTTCCAAGGGCTGTGCGCCGCTCTCCTGCCGCGAAGGCCCTTGAACAGAAGAAGAAGAAGCAGAACGATTATTCTTTGCTGAACTCGTCGGGAAAACACAGGGAATTACCCTGGCGCGGCATCTGTCGCAGTCGCCTTTTGGGCCAGTGCACCGAAGCTGTAAGACGCGAAAGATTTATAAGCCGATTCAAGAGGGTAAAAAAAGAAAAGAGAGGACAAAAAAAAAGGTTAGGGTTGGAAAATAATAACAAAATGACAACACTAACGTGGTATGACAGATCCTTACATACTTTTTTTGTCTGGCAGGAAATACAAGCTGGCCTTCGAGACGGTCGAGCGCGATTGCGACTTTGATCTTGCTGGCCAGGGCTCGCGCCACGAGCGACCACCTGCTCCATCGCTCCATCACCGGGAGGACATTTCAACGTGATGAACATTTTTGCTAATTAGGCCAAGGAACTGACTCTGTATGGATTTGATTTGAGTTTTGGTATTTCTCATACCTTGAAGCGGAGTAATAGTTCCGGAAACTTAGTAATAACCATCGCCAAGTCGTGCTAATCTAGCGCCTGCGTTTGCACCATCCCCGGACCAGCCAGTATCCGCCCCCCGGAAGAACGCAAGAAATCAACGATCCGGTTGAATGAATTTTCCGTAAGGAGACTTTATAAGAAGAACATCTAGTTATGGTCAGCCAGGGAGAAGAAAAGCTTCTTACCCATGCCAAAAAATTTAGGCAATAGGCACTGCAATGTATGTACTGTACCTAAGGACAGGATATCCTTCAAGCATGAGGAATCTATGGAGCAATTATCAGCCGATATATCATTCTTAACAAGTGGTGCTGATGGATGTTGGAAGAGTTAATAGGGGGTTAACTATTACTGAGCAGGGAAGGCAAAAAGCTACGACCCTGTAATTATTGATTATGTAGTTGGACAAGGCGGTGTTAGTAAGGAGGACTGTAGTAGTGATCCATTAAGGGGGAAAACTTTTTGTTGACTTTTTTTTTCTTTCGTAAGTGAGCTAATTAGAGCTTTTGTATACCTAGAAGGTACGGTTGTAGAATATCCTTGTTTTTAACCCTAACTATAAGTAAGATACTCCACTATCGTGGAAGAAGAACTGTTAATGCTCAAACCACTGCTCAACCCAACGCTTCATCGCCTGCCCATCAATAGCTTCTGCAGCTCTCAACTTCTCACTGATCCTCTCTGCTCGATTGGTTTCCCACTGCAATCCTTCTCCTAATTCAACGGCCCCGCTAAATCGCGCCATGAAGAACTCGAGCAGACGGAGCGCTGGATTGGAGCGGAGGAGTGCCTCGCGGGCTTCTTCACTGCCTTCTTCCATCAACGAAGCCGCACTGGCTCGTAACTTGATCAGCCACTCGGTGGGTGAAACGACCTCGATCGTCAGGGGTGTCTCCTGTTGTTGTTTTTGTTTTTGAAGAGACGCGATGATGGACGGCACCAGGGTCTCCCAAGATGCACGGTGTGGGTTGAGTGGATGAAGCACGACGACCGGCTGCTCAGGATCTGCAAGATCATCTCCAGCAGCGGCATGCAAACCAATATCGACCACCACGTCCGCCAACGTGTCTATGGGCAACCAATCAATGTCGTTGTTGTTTTTCTGCTCGTGACCCCCGGATGATATCTCCAAGGAGTTGGGAATCACACCTAGTTGCCGCGACCCCAGGATCAGTCTCGGAATCCAGTCCGTGGGGTTCCAGCGCCCAGCACTCCGTGCTGCGCCGGCAATCTGCCCAAGGCGCAGAATCACCGGTTTTTGGCGTAGGTTCAGCTGCGTGCTGGCGGCCTCAAGGAGTCGCTCGGCAATATACTTGCTCTCCGCGTAGCCGACCGGAGCAGGAGTGTCAATATCAGTCAGAATCGCCTCTGGTACTACCTTGTTGTTGTTTGCTGTACCGGTCAAGTCGAAGTTCATGGTGGCGCTGATTGAAGAGAGGAACACGAAGGCAGCTCTTCGGGTTGACTGCCCATCCAAGACAGCTAGGTTAACGACACCGGCGAGTTGGGATTCAAAGGACTGAAGAGGCAGATTGAAGTCCACCAGCCATGCGTTGTGGATAATCAGCGTCACAGTCTCGCGCAGAGTCTGATATACCTCTGTCGGAAGGCCTAGCGTCTGAGGCTCTGAGAGATCCGCGGTCAGGAATGTCACCCGGTCTGGTGGGAATGATGTCAGCAGGATAGGATCCAGCTTGGCGTTGCGTCTTTTTGCAGGGTGCCTGAATCTGGGGATCGGTTCAGGCAATACACATGCTTGACTTTTGGCTCTGATAGGAGTGCGTTCAGGATGTAGGAGCCTATGGAGCCTGTTGAGCCCGTGAGGATCACCACCTGATCGACATCATCAGTGGTGCTGTTGCCTGGTTTGTTCAGAATGATGTCTTCCTTCCGCGAAGCAATCACATCTAGATATTTCTGCAATGTTTCTGCCCGAATCTTCCTCCGTTTTTCCATCTGCTCCGTTTCAGAAGACTCGATTTGGTGTGCCAGAGCATCCAAAGCTTCAGTGAGCGCCGTGATGGAAGGATGGAGATAGACGAGACTTGGTTGGATAGAACGGAGACCCGTCTTGATACGCAGCTGACGCACAAGACGAAGAGTCTGTAAAGAATCAATCCCCTGGCTGAAAAGATCCGCATTGTCATCAATATTATTTCCCAGTCGGGTAGCTTCAGCAAGGGACTCCCGTACTAAGCCCCTGATCGAGTCTGTCGTTCCCAGGTCTCCTTTGTTCGGAATGGACGTCCACATGGCCTCCACATCAGCATAGACCTGGTTGATCTTGGCTGCGTAAAGGTCTAGGGTGGCCTGACGCCGAAGGGAGCCTTTCAGAGTGCGCAGGACCGGACGGCCAGGATCTGTAAAGCAGATATGGGATTGTGAGACTTGTGCATGGCCAGGCAAAATACGATTGGCTGCTTCAATCGTTGGCCATAGACGCTGAATGATCTGAGCCCTCTCTGCTGCAGAGAGAGACTTTTGCTGGTCATCCTGGAGTTCGATTAACAGTCCTGGCTCAAAGCGTTGGTGGCCAAACATGACCGCTGCTGCAACTTCGGGATGCTTTGCAATGTGGCTTTCAAAGGTAACCGGGTTGACCTTTTCCCCATTCAAGAACACGATCACATCATCTGATCGGGCTGCATGGGTCCAGAGGCCGGGAACAGATGGGTGGGGAGTGAACAGGTCCTTGGTCCGGAATTCCTTCAGATGGGGATAGGTGGTAAAAACGGGCTGATAGGGTTCACTCTCTGGAGTTCGGTCGAACACTAGCTCAAAGACGTCATCTCCTGGAAGGGGATCGAACCTGGCACCAACCGCAGGGTGGAACTGCAGATAGTTCCAATCTCTCTCAAAGTCATATCCATGTCGATATACGGCTGGGAGGGGTCCAGTCTCCGAAGAGCCCAGCTGTGAAGTAAGTTTGATTTTCGCGGCAATTACATCTCCAAAGACTTTGGGGAGACTGCCGCCTGAGAAAAGGAGCATCTTGAGATGGCGTGCAATGCCTTCCAGAAGGGTCGTGTTTTTGGAGATGGTTTCCAGCGTTAGCGGTGCCATAGCGGCCCAGTCGGCATGAGTGTGCTGGAGGATCTCCAGCAGGGCTTCTGCCGTTGGGGGTTTACCAGGAAGGGGCAGTATCACTGTGGTATTGTTGAAGAAGGTGTTCAGAATCCCGAAGTTGACTCCTGCTGGCTGCGAATTGGTTAGTAGTGTGCTTAGAGAAAACGGAGAAGAAGAAGAATAAAGCACGCATAAACCTACATGTCCTAGAGGAAGGAGCAGGACATTCCGATTGTTCCCCATCATGGAACTGAGAGTCTCATAGCCTTCAGGAGCTGGAAGACCGATGGTGCGGGCGAATTTGGCAACAATTTTGTGAGAGATGGACACCGGCTTGGGAAAACCTGAACTGATCAATTAACGCTTAAACCTTTTTGTTGAATCCAGATGCGTGTCTCACCAGTGGACCCGGACGTGTGGATCATAAAAGCTGCTTCATTTGCCGCTGCAGCCAACTCTTTCTCATAGCGATACGTCGCCTGGGGCTCATGCAGCAGCGTCTGGAGCGATGGGAGCTCGATCAGGGTAACTTCTCGCTCCATTAAAGTGTTTCGAACGGGTGCAAAAGTCCGATCGGTGGTAACCAAAGTTGAGCATTGGACATCGTCGAACAGCTTCAGATTCGCAGCGACGCTGTTTCGCTCCGAAATGAGGAAGATCTAGAGATGTCAACTAGGTTCACCGTCCGGAAGCAAACTGCTGACCGTGAATCCTGCTCTCATGGCCGCCACCAAGGTGATCGCACAACGAGGGTCGTTGGGAGCCAAGTACGCCAGCGGTTCTTCCGTGTCTCTCCTCCCGAGAGCCTGAGTGATATGGTGGGCGACGCCATTGACGGCGTTCGCAAACTGGGCGTAGGAGATCGACTCGAATCCTTCGCTTAGGGAGGTGGACGATCTGGGAAACTCCCCCCACAGGGCATCTGGTTCCTCGGCGGCGAGCTGCTCGACGATGGCTGGGAGAAGATGGTGCTGGGCGGCTTCGACCCTGCGAGCTGCCGTGGCCATGGCGCGGGGGGTAATCAGGGTTACTCACGAGTCCTGCTTGGGGCTGAATGAAGGTCAGCACTGCTGGGATGGATCAAGGAGCGATGGAGGAGGCAGTGCTGCCCCTCATCGCGAGATGCTCTTATACCGAGAGAGGGCGCGTCGCTTGTGTAACCACCACACGCGCCTTCTTTGTCTGCTGGCTGTCACGTGCATCGGGGGGTGGCACAGCGATGCACTGCGTCCTGCAGAACAGGGGCTCCTGGACGGTTCTGAAATCGCCACGTCGATGTCGATGGTCGCCCATATGTGGCGGTCTGCCAACGGTCCCCGGGGAGCCTGGCTCAACGACGATGGCACTCGCCCAGGATACATCCGGCGCATCCGGTAGGAGCCAACCTGCGTGTTGTTCTTGCGCTTCCGGATGAAGCGATCCCAGAGAGGCTTCATGGTCGGCACACTTCCGCAGACAATGATGACCAGGACTTCGGATATACTCCAGACGGTGAGGCCGTACTCGCTCCCTAGTTTTGACATCGTTAGTCCGCCTGGATGTTGCTGGGAAGAGAAGGAAGCACGTACAGGTAAAGTCGTCGTTGCTGATCGAGTCCAGCGTGGTCGTCTTGACAATCCCGCAGATGGCAGCCCTGGAGACAGTGAGACTTGCTTTCCTTCGCCGTCTCTTTGTCGGAGAGAAGAAAACGTACATCAGTCCCAGACCGAGGAGAACTGAGAGTTGAATCTTCTTTCGCCTGCTGAAATTCAATGTGGACAGGAACGTAGTCGGCATGAGGGCCAGGATCACATCGGCGGCGATATTTTCAGCTAGCAAGAGACAAATTCACCCATCTGCCTGGCTGTCTTGAGGTAGCAGACAGTACATACGTACCACACATGAAGTACGCAAAATTCAGCTGTACCTGCCCACTCCAACACTTGGACGGAATCCCCGGGGTCCAATTCGCTTCGACAGGAGAACATTGGACAAAGTTGAAGATACAATTAAGAACATTGACGATGGCCGTGAGGATGATCACCGCCCAGATGACCCATTTCTGCCAGTAGTTCATCGGCCCCAGCAGTCGGAGCTGGAGCGCCCCGATGGACGCCTTGCCAGTGGCACAAGAGACGATATTGACACCGCGGAGGATGAAGTTTATCTCGAGCGCTTTCACTACAGCCGTTTCGTCCAGGTAGAAAACATGTCGGTAACCCCCGACGCTGTTCTGGACCGTGGCGAGGGCGGAACATGCGATTAGGAGAACCTGCAAGAGTCGGTTAGTCATTGATCTTTTCTGTTACGTCGTCCATCTCCTACCAGCGTCAGCAGCATCAGCCAGTCATCCCAACCCGTCCGGTGGACGAGCCAACGCCCGGCGAATCGTGCGGCAACAGCGAGTATGGCAATGGCCGTTTCGGTCCATAGGACGGCCATCACGGCGGGGCCCAGGTCTTGATCCCCTCCTGGGGGTGGTCCTGATACAACGGGCATTATTCTAAACAAGAATCCTCTAGGTGCAGTTATTCAGGGTAAAATCTTCCGGAGAGTCCTCTCGTGGTCTCTAGATATCATTCATGACAAACTCGGCAGCCGCAATCTCCAGAAGGCGCTCAACGGAGGTGTAATCGATGATCAGATGATTCTTTGGTTTTACAGGGAACGTCTTGTGTCTTCTTTAATAGAAAGCGTTGATTGGCTTTTGCGCAACTACGTACGGAGTATATCGGAACAATCATTGTAACACCAGCGCATTTCTGAATGGCCGCCTGAAGGGGCGGATTCAGCCCGGTTTACAATCATCCTCCACGATCCTATTAGAGATAATACCATTTCCAAAGATACTCGCTGGCCAGACCAGCGACGATGCAGGCCCCTACCAGTGATGAACCCGGTCCAAACCACCAGGCACAGCTCGCCGGTTTTTTGAGGTCAACTAGGGTCATCATCGCTGTCAGTGCCAGGGATGTCCCGCCACAGGTGGTGACAAAATAGACGGGCGAGAATCCACTGTGGAAGCCGACCACCGCAAGTAGCCCGACCTGCAATGCAGCGAGCATCGACAGAGCCAATTTTGTCCGCTCACCAAGAAGGACAGCCAGCGAGCGGACCCCCGCCCGGACGTCATCTCGGCGGTCCTGGTGCGCGTAGATGGTATCGAAGATGATGGTCCAGATGGCACACGCGCCGAACAAGCTTAGCGTGGCCGGCCGATGCCCATCATCCAGGGGATCGACATTGAGAGCCGCGCACGAGACAAAGACGGCGACGGCAAACCCGAGACCTAGGATCACCTGGGGAAAATCGGTCACTCGCTTCGCCAGAGGGTAGACGGCCAGGATGGCCGCAGTAGTAGCGGCATGGATGGCAGCCTTGGGAGGCAGTGGGACGAGAATGGCGGCACCGAGGGCGAACTGAGCCAAGGCGAAGAGATAACCCTGGCCGGTAGAGACAGCACCGCGGGCAATCGGGCGGAAGCGCGTCCGGGCGACCTGGCGATCGAAATCCTGGTCGAGGTTGTCGTTCACGGTGCAGACAGCGCCGCGCAGGATCACCACCCAGAGCGCCAGGTAGACGGCCAACATGACCAGGGTGGCGGGAGCCGCCAGGGGCCTACACACACTGGCGCCGAAGCTGAGGCCGATTCCGTAGTGCCAGTAAAAGGCGTAGTATCCCGCCGGCCGATCTAGACGCATCAGCTCAGCATAAGGAATCCACGAAGCTGGCAGGACGCGGAAGATTCCATGGCAGGGCGGTCTGTATTGGTCTTGGGGAGATTTGCGGGTTGCCATGCCGTGATATTTGAAAACTGTGAAGAAAGGGGGAAGAAAATGAGAAAATTCCGATGAGGGAGCAGAACGAAGATGAGTCACTTGGGATCAGAAATGGTCTCGTCCTTGACGGGCTATTAGGAACTGAAGGTGAGGGATGAGAATCCGGCCTCAACAGGCAGGACAATCCTTGGATTCATATCTATCCACAGGGGGAAAAAAAAGGTGCACTGACTCGTGAGGTAAACCTGTTTATAGCGGACAGGCGAGAACCGAGTCAGCGTTCCAATTAGTTTGGCCCTGCCTACCCATGCTGCTCACGTCCGTCGTGCTGTGCTGTTTCCGATCCTGGTTGTGATCAGAGGGCAGTTCAACGTATGTACAGCCCAACGCAAGAAGGTTAGCTGCAGTCGTATCTCCAGAAAACGGTGCTGGTACGAGTTTCTGTTTAGCAGATTCCCAAGATCAGCTTCCCTGCATCCATCCAATAAACGACAGCAAACAAGCCCCGCTGGATCCCGGCATCAATGAGTATAATGTACTGTACAGTACAAAGATTGAGTATTTCGAGTCAGCCCGTGGAGCTAACAGACGATCTATGCCTTGATCCCCGGTGTTAGACGCATGCATGCATGCATCGGTAGTGGTCACGGCGAATATCCAACCCAACGGATCCTGAGGGATGGCCATCGCCGATTGGATTAGACAAGGAAAGCATGCAGATCTATAGACAAATCGACCGCCATGTTAGCAAACCCCCAGTATGTATGTATGTACAGTGCCATGGGCACTCAAACATATCCAATCCTATCGGCAATTTCCAACTATGGAGAAACTCCAGACGAAAGCTGACCAACCCCCTCTCAAATTAAAGTACTCATTCAGCCGCAGCCTAATTTTCAATCTGTCGGATGATCGTCTTTTTTTTTTCCCATCGTTGTTTCTTTGATTTTTCTTTCTCGGATGCCTTACATACAAGTGACGACTCTGTTCAAGGTCCTTGTCGAGTTCATCCAGCCTAATCGATGACAAGTAGGGTCAACTACTCACTCATTACCCAATTTGGAAGTCTTGGCATATCCCCTTGGCCGTTCCACGTGACTCAGCACCATCGTGACAAGAGCCCCACACGCCAACTTTCTTTCGGACTTTCGACTCCCAATTTTCTTTTGCTGCTCACACAACATTCGACAGAGTCAGTACCCCTTGTTGAACTGACAACAAGAGAGCAGGGCAGAGCAACTCCGTTCTGCCCTGCTCCTGATTCCCAGAGGTGAGTCAATGATATTGTTTCTTTAGCCTTGAGAAAGGATTCGAGACATCATCCGCATCATCCATACGGACACCACACCACACCACACTACTACCATGATGAGAACATTCTCCAAGAACCGAAACAATTTAGGAAGAGCCGGAAGAGGCATGGCAAGACGGGATTCATTCAACTTCGCCTTTTCTCCTTTCGTTTCCTCACGTCCTTCCTCTATCGTCGTCTTTTTTCTTTCTTTTTTCTTTTCAGCTATTCTTTTCTCTTTTTTGGACTCCTCACCATACTACGTTCGCCTGTGGGTTGATAACAGGGAGAGGGAGGGGGAAAGAAAAAGTTATAGGAAGGGTTCTCTATCCGTTTGGGTGGTGTTTCTCTTCTTGGCTTTTTTTTTCTCCCCACCTCGCCTGTTTTTCTTCTCACATTAAGGTGTTCGTAGAAATCTGGGGAAATATGGAGAGAAGATAGATGGAAGAAGAAGAAGAAGAGGATATCGGTGATATGCGGATGGACGGCGCAGGGACGACAAAGAGAGGGCAGCAGGAGGTTAATGGTCTGTCTTGTCGTCGGTGCTTAGAATGGTTCTGCTGAAGTGTGGAAACGTCTATCCTTTATTCTCTCGAATCCTTTCGCGTTGGCTTCGCAGCTTTACAATTGGTCTTTTTTATTTTTTTTACCCCTTGAGCTGATATGCTGACGCCATTGGGATTATTAGAATAGGTATCGTCTTTTGAGAGCAGCATTCCCCTTCCCTCAGATGTACTCTTACCATGTACGACAGCAAATAATGCTCGATGAAAAATACGGAATATACATGGCTTGGATTTGATATCATTTGGTGATTGACCTATTGACCATCAATCAATATTGGAACCGGGATAGAGTTAAAAAAAAAGAACAACTGTGGAAGTACAGAGTAAACACACAGCTGAACTTGTTTTGAACTTAAAACTACACGTATTAAAAATGAATTTGCTTACCTCCCTGCATGACCCTACCTAAGAAAACAAGCATCCCTCCTTGAATATCTTAAAGGGAGGTTTATTCTTCAAAGGAGGTGCGCCACAAACACAAAATCGCAATGGCGTCTTCTTGCTGTTGGAAATACTCATAAAATGAGTTGGCTTTTTTTTTCTTTGTTTATAATTTCTATTTTTTTTAGTAATTTCATTTTTTTTTATAATTTCATTTTTTTTATAATTTCATTTTTTTTATAATTTCATTTTTTTTATAATTTCATTTTTTTTATAATTTCATTTTGTTTCCGCCTAGCTAACCTCCCAGCTAGACAGCCAGTCTGTCAGTCTGTCAGATTTTGTTAACGGTTCGTTGATATGTAACGTATTGTATATCTATCTATCTGATGGGAATAGCTCCATACCTGTATGTATTTCTGTGCCGGCTATCCGATGATCGCAGTATCGATCCATCCACTCTGAATTAAAGGAGTAGGAAGAAGGTACCCTGGTAGGAGAAGAGACACCGCAAGCTCGCTCCAGAAGGATGCCTGTCCATCAGGGATGGCGGGATTAATGAGGCAAGAAGAAAATAATATTATGCGAGGAATTCTAGCAGTCATGCAATGGTTGTACGTGCCAAAAGTGGTGGACTGCCTACCTACCTAGGTACCTACATACCTTGGAAGTTAGTGCCCATGCCCCGGCGTATGCAACACGCATATGCATATCAGAAGGCTGGGCTCCATGCAAGCAGGCCCCAAGGTTCTCTCTGACAAATGGCAATCTGCTAGTAATAATTAGGCAGATAGATGGCTGGATCACTCGATGACGATGACTCACTCGATCGGAAACGAGCGAGCACGTGGACGAGTCGGATGACAATAATGACAACATTCTCATCACGCTCTCGCAATCAACAATGTTGGCATATCTGTCCCCTCCATACTTATAATCTCGACGTCCACACGAAAGGCCCGATAAGCGCGAGGCGTTCTGCATGCAAGTAATCTCAATAACATAATCGGGAGGCATATGCAGTACCCCACTACCATCCATTCACCTGCAGCTACTCTGTCGGGAGGGGTGACGTTGGGCCTTTATATCTCAGCCTTGTGAGAAGAGAAGGCTTGGAAAATTAAAAGTTATAAAAAAAATGATAGGAGAATGTTGGATGGATCCTTACGTATGTGCTACCCATACCGAGGTAGGGTAGGTATGGCCATTTCGAACTGACAGAGATGATGCAGTCAGTTAATGCAGGCTGGACCCAGGTGTATCAGTTAACCAGGACATGCACCTGATATACTCATAGTGTTAGCGACATGTCAGTAGTTCAAAACGCATATATTCTAATTTCCTCTATCAAACACCCCCACAAATAAGAATAAAACCTCTCTTCGTTAAAGTGAGAATGTATAAGAAATACAACCTGTATTCTGCCGGAGCTAAGTGTTGGTATTTTCCTTGGTATTTCCATACACTAGGTATGTTCTAAAGATAGATATACGCCTGTAGAAATCTCTGCTTCATGCCAGGAACCCAGCCTGCAATCTTCAACTTGAAACAAAACACGACAGCACGTTCATCCCTGGACCCTGAAGGTACGTCCACTGGCCGTCTTCCTCTCCCGTTCTTCGTTCTCCGGCCGCGCTCGGTTGAGAACTGGACACGTTAGCACAATCTCAAATCGAGTCCTATCAACAGACTTACCTTGCAGGAAGTCTGCGGTTCGCTTTCGCATCCGAGTGTGAATGTAGGCCTGTCGTAAGTGAGCAACCAGAACGACCACTTCGATAAGTGATATAAGAGCACCAACCTTCGAAGCTTTGATGTGGTAGTGGAAGTAGTCGCGGAAGGTTTGGATGTGAGAAATGTTCTCGTAACGGCGTTGCGGAGTCAAGTGACGCGGGAAAAGGACTTTTCCGTCAGAGATACGACCACAAAAGCACAGGAGCAAACATACCAAATGTGATGTAGCTGATCTGCCCATCAGATGAGGTCTTCAGTCCCGGGATTCCCTGTAGCTCCAAGGGAGGATCACTGCGGAAGAGGACTTGAGGAGCGTTCTGCAAGGTGTGGACGCGTCTCCGGGCGTCGACAAATTCCTGGCCAACGATCAGCAAACTTCACCTGTTTTGCATCTCCTCTAGAACTGCCAACCTGCAAGAAGACTTTGCCGAAAATTCGGTCCGTCTCTTCGCGGAAGATCGTGCTGAAGATCACCGTCACGCGATCATGACTGGCTTTGATGTAGATGGCTTCCTCCTCACGGTAATGGATCGCCATCACCTCTCCTCCTTCCTTGACGCCCTGCGGAGCGGATTCCGATGTATATCTCGACGCCTCTTCTGATAGCTTGGCAAACTCGTCAAACGCCCGCTCGAACGGCGCCGCCATCACATTCCGCTTGAGGAGTGACAGCCGCCGAATCAGGTCCTCTTTCCCTTCCGCATCGGGAGGCAGATTCTCGAGATCGATCTGGACGGAGAAGTCATAGCCCGGCTCGGGCGAAACGATGTACGGGCCATACTCCCGTTCCAGCACCGCCTGAGCGCCGTACTGCACCAGCTCGCGGAAGCACTTCAGAGCAATGGAAATGAGAATCTTGGTTTTCGACTCGGGGGTCGAGACGTGGAACGTGACGCCATCGAAGTCTGACACGACCTGGTCGATTGAGACGGGGTTTGATGCTCTGCAGGGGCAATATTAGCTGCTGCCTCCACGTCGCTAGACACATGTATGCCTGGCGGGGCCGTACTCGGAGAACCGCTCCGTGAGGAGGGATTGGATAAGCACGTTGTGGTAGTCTAGGAGAAGCATGGCGAAGGGCCCATGGGCATGGCACTGGACTGCTCCTCGATGTTGCTAGGCAAAGAAAAGCGCTGTTGGGCAGGACAGTCGATCTGACGCTGGGCGTGGAGATGTCTGTCATGCATCGCTGCCCTGCCCGCAGTGAAGTGTCAACTGTGGACGTTGCGCGCTCACCGCCTTTGCCCAGCCGGTCGCTGTCGCCGCCCGTAGCCGCCCGCTATCGAATTATCGATAGAAAATCGTTGATGCCGGAGCTCCAAATTTTTGCCCGCAGCGCTCGACATGGTCAAGTCATATCTGTAAGGCCTCCCCCGTTTCCCAGGCCCGAATCTCCAGTTCGAATGCGCTGACAATTGCAGGAAATTCGAGCATTCCAAGACTTTTGGCCTCGTCGCCTCCGCCTCGTCGAATGCGGTCTGGACCAGAGACGAAGATGTCTCTGGTACCGCGCGGCGCACAGGCGCAGGGCGGGCAATAGTCGGGGCCAACGAAGAAGTTCTCTGCTGGGACGTGAAAAAGGGTGAACTGCTGAGCCAGTGGCGCGATGCCGACTGCAGGGCGCAAGTGACCGCCATTGCGCAGAGCAAAGCGGACGAGGACGTATTCGCGGTTGGGTAGGTCTTTACCCCTCGAGCAGAGGGCCTGCATGTGCGCAAGCTGATTGCTTTCGTTCCTAGTTATGAGGACGGCAGCATCCGTCTATGGGACTCGAGAACAGCGTCGATCGTGATCTCCTTCAATGGCCACAAGACTGCCATTACCCACCTCGCCTTCGACAACTCCGGCGTCCGGCTGGCCAGCGGGTCGAAAGACACAGACATTATTGTGTGGGACTTGGTCGCCGAGGTGGGACTATTCAAGCTTCGCGGGCACACGGATCAGATTACGTCGCTACATTTCCTGTCGCCATCCTCTGGCGACGCGGATGGAGTTATGAGCGGAGCTGGTCAGACTGAGAGCGGAGGATTCCTGCTATCTACGGGGAAGGACGCCTTGATCAAGATCTGGGATCTCGCATCTCAGCATTGCATTGAGACACATGTTACGCAGAGCAATGGCGAATGTTGGAGTCTAGGGTTGGCACCAGACCAGAGCGGCTGTATAACGGGAGGAAATGACGGCGAGTTGAGGGTGTGGGCAATCGACGAGAGTGCAATGCAAGAAGTGGCCAAAGAGAAGGTTGGTTCAGAAAACAGGAGGATTTTGATTGAACGGGGGACATTTTATCGTCACAACAAAGACCGCACCATCGGCATTAGTTTCCATCCGCGCGCAGACTATGTTGGCTTCCACGGCTCCGAGAAGGCTGTCGAGATATTCAGGATACGGTCCCCGACAGAAGTCCAGAAGAGCTTAGCAAGGAAACGGAAGCGAAGGAAGGAGAAAGAGGCCGAACGAGCTGCAGACGGGGAGAACGCAGCTGGACAAGCCGACAGTGAAAAGCCGGAAGACGCGTCGTCCGCGCCAATTACGGAATACTTCGTACCGCATGTCATTGTACGAACAGGAGGAAAGGTGCGGTCGTTCGCCTGGATGACCATGAAGTCAAGCGGCAACCTCCATCTCCTGGCGGCAACGAACAATAACGAAATCGAAACCTTCAGTGTCGTGACGGCGGCAAAAAAGAAATCCAAAGACAATGATGAGACAGAGTACAACCGGGTTCTGGCCGTGGATATACCTGGTCATCGAACGGACGTTCGATCCCTGGCCCTGAGCTCGGACGACCGAATGTTGGCCTCTGCATCCAATGGCAGTCTGAAGATCTGGAATGTGCGGACGCAGACATGTCTGCGTACGCTGGAGTGCGGCTACGCCTTGTGCTCATCCTTCCTTCCGGGTGACAAGATCGTCGTGGTGGGCAACAAAAACGGCGAGGTGGAGGTCTTCGACATTGCGTCGTCGACTCTCCTTGAGACTATCAAGGCGCACGACGGACCGGTTTGGTCTCTTCATGTTCACCCGGATGGCAAGTCCATGGTGACCGGAAGTGCAGATAAGACGGCCAAATTCTGGAACTTCCAGGTGGTCCAGGAAGAGATCCCAGGAACCAAGCGTACCACGCCGCGACTCAAACTCGTGCACACCCGTACCCTGAAAGTCGCAGACGACATCCTCAGTCTCCGTCTCTCTCCAGACGCTCGCCTTCTCGCGGTGGCTCTGCTGGACAACACGGTCAAGGTCTTCTTCACCGACACACTAAAGCTCTTCCTGAATCTTTATGGCCACAAACTCCCCGTCTTGAATATGGACATCTCCTATGACAGCAAATTGATCGTTACGTGTTCGGCCGACAAGACCGTTCGTATCTGGGGCCTGGACTTCGGAGACTGTCACAAGTCGTTCTTTGCGCACGAGGACAGCGTAATGGCCGTCGCATTTATCCCCAACAACAACGAGGGCAACGGGCATCATTTCTTCAGTGCCAGCAAGGATCGCAGAATCAAGTACTGGGACGGCCAAAAATTCCAGCAGATCCAGAGGCTGGACGGCCATCACGGCGAGATCTGGGCTCTCGCCATGAGCCACTCGGGTGAATTCCTCGTCAGTGCCAGCCACGACAAGAGCATCCGGATATGGCAGCAGACGGACGAGCAGCTCTTCCTGGAAGAAGAGCGCGAGAAGGAGCTGGAGGAACTGTACGAGAGCACGCTGACAGCCTCCTTCGAGCAGGAGGAGGGAGAGGGCGGCGAAAAGGCGGAGGCAGTCGATGCTAGCAAGCAGACCGTCACGACGCTCATGGCGGGTGAAAGGATCATGGAAGCGCTGGACCTCGGCATGGAGGATCTGAAGCTGATGGAAGAATGGAAGGAGACCAAAGCCCGGAATCCCAACGCGGCACCACCGGCCCGCAACGCACTCTATGTCGCGCTGGGCAACATCTCCGCGGAGCGACACGTGCTGAACGTGGTGCAGAAGATCCCCGCGGCGTCGCTGCAGGACGCGCTGCTGGTGCTGCCCTTCTCCAAGCTGCCGGCGCTGTTCACCTTCCTGGACATCTGGGCGAGCCGGCAGTGGGCGATCCCGCTGACGTGCCGGGTGCTGTTCTTCATGCTCAAGACGCACCACCGACAAATCGTGTCCAGCAAGATGATGCGCCCGATGCTGGACCGGATCCGCTCGACGCTCCGGCGCGTGCTGGCCCAGCAGAAGGACGAGATGGGCTTCAACCTCGCTGCGCTGCACTTCATCGGCACCCAGGTGCGCGAGAACAGCCAGCGGGACTATGTCGATGTCGACAAGTGGGAGGAGCAGCAGATTGCCAAGAAGACGGGCACGAAACGGCGGTATATCACTGTTGCTTGAGAAAAGATCTTGGGGAGAAGCTGCATTTCAAGGCGTTTATTTGTTATATTATTTGCAGGGGCTGTATTTTTTTGTTGTTGGAAACAAAAAATTCACTTTTTTCCTCTTTCAAATTATATAGAGACTTGGTCAGGGTCTATGGGAAATAATTTCATTCGACATCGATCAATCATATCGACACGTATTTTACTTATGTGTTCTGGGCGTATATATGGACGACCAAAAAAAAATTCCGCAATTAATAAACCATAAATTATAATAACAGATAGATAGCTTTTCATCGACTTGTAACATATCTATTTCCCTGGATAGGCAAATATTTAGCTCATCACGTTGCAGGATTCTTCCATGGTTCGAACCATGGCTCAGTGATGACCTACCTCCCACCGTATTTTTATTTAATTTATAATTTTCACATTTCCATCTGATGGACTTTTTTATCGTCGCTGTCTTCCTGATTCTTGTCATTGTCGTTGTTGTTGTCACCATTGTTCCTTCTTCGCAGACAATATAGACGGTATTTACTTCCTTCCTACCTATCAATCTCCTTACGTGTCTTATTTATCTTATTTGTAAACAAGATAGTTCCTATCCTCTCGTAAACACTCACGCATATATACACCAATATTCCCCTGTCGAGTGGTACAGTACCTATTTCTCTATAAGGTAGGGCACATTCCTACCTAGGGCTCCTGACGTCAATCTTGCATATCTGGAATGCCTCATCATCAAATCGATTGACATCGACATTCCTGAGAGCTGGGTCCTTCTTTCCTTTTCCCTCCTCACTTCATTGTCTTGTGTTTATGACATAAGGGATATTTTTAGTTTGTTTCAGTTCGAAACCTTTTTTTTTCCGACTTTGACTTTGTCTCGGCCTTGAGTGGTTGGTTTGATTTGATTTCGTTTTGCTTTCTTTTTCTGTTCTTTCTTTCTTTCTTTATTGTGTTTCTACGATCTTACTCCTTGATTAGGGTATAATCCTGCTAGACCAAGGGAATCTGTGTAAGACACAAGAGGGGGAAAAAAAAGATATAATAAGGAGAAGAAACAAAGAAAACGAAACGGATACGATACGCTGCCATGGCTGGATCAGACTTCCTCAGCAAGCTCCCCTTGGAGATCCTCCTCATGATTCTCTCCCAACTTCCGGTCCCCTCTCTGGTAGCTTTCGGCGCGACTTCGCGCGCCAACTATGCCTACCACATTCTCTGCATGAGACGACTGCACCTGGCCATCTTCCAGAAGCGGATCCACGCCACGATTGCCTTTCTCGATATCGACTCGCCGCGAGCACCATCACGTGGTAGCCCCTTCGAGGACGACTCCGACGAGTCGGGTCACCGCGTTGCTGTCGTGCTGCCGCACCGCTCGCGCGGGAGGGATGTCGTCGGCTGCAAGTCGCCGTTGCGAGGAGGAGTGCGGGCCTCGAGACGCAATAGCTGTACTACAAATACCAGCGACGAGGCCCCCCCACAGCCTGCGAGTCAAACGATACGCGTGCAGAACGAAATCTTTGCCAAGATCGTCAGTCGCTACGGCGGCTCCCTTGTCGACCTGGAGTTCATGGCCTATGACCTCAACTCCCAGGGCGCCATCGCGCTGGGCTCAAGCTGCGGACGCAAACTACGCCATCTCGCATTGCGGTTCGAACACCCTCACATTCGGGACTGCATGCTGGGTCGGAACTACTGGCTCCACCCTCCGCCCGGCAGCACAGCGTGGAACGCCCTGATCGGCGTCGGCGAGATGGGCAAGGATATTGGGCTCAGCAATCTGGAGAGCCTGGTGCTGGAACGCGCCGGCATCACGCCGTGGCAGCTGCGGATGCTGGTCAAGAGAAACCCTAAGCTCAGAGACCTGCGACTGCGGACTTGCGCGGCCGTCCAGCCCGAGTTTCTGAACTGGCTGGGCGGGATCGATGTGGATTCGGACGACGAGCCCAGCGAAAAAAGCGATCCTGCTCCTGGAGCATCGCTTGAGACTCTATGGGTGGAAAATTGTGACGGAATTTCTTCAGAGGTGGACTTTGGCAATAGTGAGGACGGTGACGAAATCCGAGATACTGGTCTGGAATGGATTCGAAATCTGAAAGGACTGAAGGTAGGCATACCGCAGGAAGGAACTATTCAAGAACAGTTTCTAATGGGGACTTTTCTATGTGTAGTCTCTTTCTCTCCGTCACTGTCCCAACGTCAACTCTGAACTGGTTGAAAAGCTAAACAAGACTGTCTGGCACATCCCGGAGGTGTTCTTGCCATATCCCCTTGCGGCTGATAATTCTGAAGGTCCTATCGAGATTGATCCGGATTATACATGATGTCTAGAGGGAAGACTGGGATTAGCATCAAGATTTTTATGTACTGTATTATAGACACATGATGATTGTTAGATATGTAGGTAGTATGGAAGGCTTACTATTCTTTTGTTTCCCTACTTAGCCTTGGGATTTTTTTTTGTCTTGTTCACTTGCATTATCAGATAATGCACTTTAATCTTTGTGATTGGTACTTCACCTGTTCAAAGCACTGTGCCTGTTAGTGACATTCAGGCCATTCACATCTTAGCAGAAGATTCTCTGTTCTAGTGAATGTTGATTTTGTAAGCATACCCATGTGAAGTGTCTGTTAGTAGAATTCACTGTCACCGACAATAAGGTGAATGCCATCACACAGTGAAAGGAGAGAGCCTGCCTGGAAACCGGATTAACTATACAGCCTGCCATTGACCCTGGGAGTCTGCCAGTGAATTTAGCTGTATTGGAATTTCTGTGGGCGAAAAAAAAAAACACAAAGCACACGCTAAGCACTCCAAGCAATGGGTCGTGAATGTCAAGACGAAAGCAAGACGCGATATTCGTTCGATGTTCTCCTCTCGTCCTATAAATTGTGCTGCGCTCTGGCTTTCCTCTACCTCCCATCGCACAAACCTCACACGCTCACATCTCCCCATCCATCATTCCACATAGCCAAAGCGCACTTTGACGTACTTTGGCCTTCAACAGACACAATCATGCCCTGGAACCCGTTCCATCTCCGATGTCCCCGCTGGCTGCGCGCCGAGAAATCAGTGCCTGGAAACAAGTACCAGAAGCTTGACAGTGAAGATGCGAAGACTGGCCTCTTTTCGAGTACAAATACCCCCGTCTGTCGTCAGGATCCTGAGGTCTCTCAGAGTCTCTCACATCTCTCCTCCTACCCAAACGCTCAGGTCGCGAACCAGAAGTCGTTCAACCGTAACAATCTCCAAACAGCAACCTACAATCGTCAGCGAGCAATGGCAGACCAAAACAGGGAAGCCGCAGCTCCAGTTGCGCGTCAGGCAACTTCTGAGTCTTCCAACCCTCGTGGTGATACCCACACGCCCTACACCATCAGCTCTGGAGAGTGGTGTCCTACTTGGAACACTGCGAACGACAACCTCCACGTTCACCACATCCCCGAGAAGCAGATGAAGGCTAGATGGGAGAGCGTGCTGTCTGTCGCTTCGATCGTCTACGGCATCGCTAAGGTGTTCCTCACCATCTGCCAGAATTTCGGAGTCGAGGTATGTCGAGTTGATTCCCTCTCCCCTCTTCTTTCTCAAGCAGTGGACGCCTGCTGACACTTGGTTTAGCTCGACAACTCTCCTACAGGCATCTTGTTTCACATCGAGCAGGTTGAAGCCGAAATGGTTTCTGACAACATCGTCACCTTGATTCTCGCAATCGAGGACCTCTATTACGTTTTGTACGCGCGGCTGGCCATCGAGATTGGCAACGTCCAGCTCTGCTCTTCTTTCAACTTGGACATTCGTCGTCTTTCTAGCAAGGATGCCGTCGTTCTTCCGGAGCCAAGCCATCTACTCGCCATCTTGAACATCTGCAAAGACGTCCTTGACGCTCGCCAGGTCTGCCAGGTTCTCAACGAAGAGATCCTCGAGCGTCACCAGGAAGAGTTTGTCCAGCAAGTCATCAAGGAGTACAGCAACATGGGCCGCCAGCCGGATGATATGCTCGGATACCGTCGTCACATCCGCGAACTCGTCAGTGACCGGAATTCTAGATTTTCCCAGCAGTGGCGCGGCCTCAACCCTGTGTACCAGATGGCGCCAAAGGAAATCCTCGCCATTCTCTCGGAAAAGTACCTCTCAGTGACACCTCCAGAGAAGCCTGCCAACAACGCCGTGACCTTGGAACTCCCATTTGTCGACCCCAATTCTGTCGACCCAGACGTCTGGGAACGCAAGATCATCCGCGCCCATCGTCAGGCGACACTGGCCATCCTGGAGGGCAAGAGCGTCGGGGAGGTGCGTCGTGAAGCCGACGAAGGCTTCAACGCCATGGATTACGTCAAGGAGCAGAAGTGCGTCTGCTTTAGCTTCTGCTCCTGCGCCGAGGAATGCACCAGGGACGCGGAGCGCCTCTGCCCTTGTGCAGAGCGCGTGATGCGTGCCCTGCTGGTCGAGCAGACCGGCCAGAACTTCGGCCAGCGAGGCACCTTGCTGGCCGAAGTATGCTTCGAAGGGCTGTCGGCTGTCAGGCGGGACGCGTCGAGGTACGACATGGCCCGAGAGCTCACCCTGGGCCTCGACCTCTTTAAGAACGAGGTCGTCAAGCACCGCGAGGCGAGGACAGGGTGAGCTCTCGGGCCATGTTGGGGGGAAAGGGGGCTCTGGAATCCTTTTTCTCTGTTTTTCTTTTCTTTCTTTTTCTTTTTCTTTTCTTTTTCTTTTTCCTTTTTTTGGTATGAGTATGCAGGACGATCACGGTGGTGGTAGGATAGGAGGGACGAATGCAGTTTACCAAATGCAGTTGTTAGTTTCCGAATTCGCTGATTGGGTGCATTGTCGAGTTCCCACGTATGCTCGTAGGGACCCAAGTACAACGCCTGCGGGCAATCTAATCTGGAAAACAACGTCTGTAAGACTGCCATCTCATCTACAGCATCTTTAAACCTCATTCCAGGCGATTATGACTCGATAACGTGATGGTGTAGTTATAGGGCGGTGGCGTGTTGCAGGCGTCGCCGCTGACTGGCGGATCGCTCACCGGCGCATCCCCGCCGCGCTTAGTGACGATTTTTAGCCTCAACTGTTATCAATGACACGGTGACAACTAGTTAAGGTCCTGTGGGGAGCAAAACCACTCCTATCGGGCGCGCCGTTATCGTCATCTCATCTCCATCTTCCGTCCCAACTTCCATTCATCAGCATGTTATGATCATGCGCGGTTTATGTGCGCCTGGGGTGCACGTCTGAGCGGGCATGATCACCACGTTTCTGTCCTCCCTGGCTACGAGTACGATACCTTCGTCGACGTTCGCTGCTCGTCAGTGGCGGCTCCTGTTGATCTCGAGTCCCCTGAAAACAACATCATCTCCACGCCAGACGCAACTGCGCCGGTATCACGTCGCCATCCCTGCGTACGGAACGATCACACCCACTCCTGAGAATCTGGACGTATGGATTTCGAAATCTCCCTTCCGCTTCGAGACTGGCTATGCGTTTCGGCCGAAACGGCCGTCGCGGCCGTTCCCGCCTCCCTTCGTGTCGCCCCCGTCAACGTCCTTCTCCGACCCTTTGACAACGCATTCCCAGAGCCAAGACCGGAGGCCCTTCGTCGGGGGCGAGCTCATCCGGGGCTTGACCAACGGTGACGATGCAATCCTGGCTGCAGAGAACTTCATCGGAGTGAACGATGGGGTAGGAGCTTGGGCGACGAAACCCCAGGGCCATGCGGCGTAAGACTTCACAAGTTGATATTTTTGGTTTTCGAAGGGTTTGTGGAAGCAGCTTACCAATAGACATGACAGTTTGTGGTCGAGACTGATCCTGCATTTTTGGGCGCTCGAGTGTGAACGGAACGTCAACTGCACAACCGAGCCCGACGTCGTCGACTTCTTACAACGCGCCTACGAAGAGACCGTGAAGGCGACAAAGCAGTGGCTCGGAACTACCACCTCGGTGACCGCCCTCCTCCACTACCGTAACGACGAAGAAGGAGCACGGCCCTTGTTGTACGTGACCAACCTTGGGGACTGTCAGATTCTTGTCATCCGTCCCAGCCAGAAGAAAGTCCTCTTCAAAACGCGCGAGCAGTGGCATTGGTTTGACTGTCCCCTTCAGCTGGGGACGAACAGCACTGATGAGCCGCGGAACGATGCGGTTCTCTCAAAGGTGGAACTGGAAGAGAACGATGTTGTCTTGGCAGTATCGGATGGCGTCATCGACAATCTCTGGGAGCAGGAAGTCTTGACTGTGGTCCTTGAAAGCATAGAGAAGTGGGAAGCGGGAGAAGGGGGCGACGCGGAAGGGGACCGTATGGCAGGAGCTGGAGGAGGCATGGTCTTTACGGCCAGGCGGCTTTTAAATGCTGCGTTGAACATTGCGCAGGATCCTTTTGCGGAAAGCCCTTACATGGAGAAGGCCATTGACGAAGGCCTTGCCATTGAAGGAGGTACGTATAAGGTGTCGCACTGTATACTATTCACTTAGCTTACAGCTGGCAGGCAAAATGGATGATATCAGTGTTGTCATTGGACTGTGCAAGAAGAGGAAGCTTTGAGCATTAAGATCTTGGATTTCTCTGTTCTGCTCACGGAAAGCACATCCAGGGGGATGGTGCTCGAATTTCGAGGTCACTGGTATGATCAATCGGCAACTCGGGTTCGGATTTTTGACATTGCTGCATAATCTATATCATATTTCCAGATCTATTGCAAACTTCTTGAGAGTTTAGGGAGTTAGGCCTCTTGTGATACCCCTAACTGATTTTGGTTTGATGATCCTGCGCTCGTCGAACTGGAATCCGCATCACGTCGAGAGATGATCAATACATAACGGTATATTGGGTTGTTGCCAATAACGGCAGTGAGAATATTTCCGCATGGTATAGTCGCCTCTGAAGCGATGATATAGTCGATGGTTACTCGGGGACAAAGCAGTACATGCATAATAATGGATAGAATATGAGCATAGGCTGGGAGTCTAATTTCCATTAATCCGCATTCCTATTTCGCAGATATGAATGGAAACTAATTACTTTAAATGTCATCTTTATTCTTTGTAACGTCCTTATCGTTATCAGCGTGCTCACATGCCGCCGTGCACGGACCACATCTAAACCGTCCGCCGAAAAAAAGTTTCGAGACAAACTCCGCAGCGCGTAGCAGGCTTCAATCCACAACATCACCCGAAATCCTCTTGCGGGGAAGATCCTTTTTATTCTTTCACCGACTATTATAGAGGATTTTTCTCAACCGTCACCATGAGGGCGAAGCGGTCGAAGAAGTACCGCAAGCTCATGCACCAGTATGAGCTCACGTTCGGCTTCCGCGAGCCGTACCAAGTGCTGGGTACGATAAGCGCAATTCTCCCCGGGACTTTTTTTGCCTTTGGTTTTTCATAGAATGGACATGTGACTGACTTGATCATGGTGAATGTGAACAGTGGATTCTAATTTCCTCCGCGCTATACATCAATTCAAGATGGACTTGATTCCCTCGCTGGAACGGACGCTGAAGGGGAAGGTGAAGCCACGTACGTAGCGACGAACTGCGCTGCTTCTATCTATTTCAGGTTTCGATATGCTAAACCTTGGGCCTTTCTTGTACAGTCTTATCGAAATGCTCCCTCGCGGCTATCATGGCTGCCCAGCCGAAAAACCCCAAGACGAACAATCCCATCCGTCCCGAGCACCTCCCTCCGCCTACGACTCTTCCACTGCGACACTGCTCTCACAACGAAGAAGATACTCCGATCGACGAGGCAGAGTGTCTCCTGTCCTTGCTCTGTCCGAATAAGGAGACGATGCGCAACAAGGAACACTACATCCTCGCGACGGCCGACCCCCCGTCGGCAGAAGTTCTAGCGCAAAACCCACAAGTTCTAGGGCAAAACGGCGAGCTCTCAAATCCCAAAAAGCGGAAACGTGCCGAGATCTTGCATCAGGAGCTGAGCCGAAAGGCAAGCGCTCTTCGGGCGGGGGCACGCTCGATCCCCGGCGTACCCATCATCTACGTGAAGCGCTCCGTCATGATTCTGGAGCCCATGAGCACACCGTCTGAACAAGTGCGACTCGGAGTGGAAGAGAGCAAGTTCAAGGCGGGCATCGAAACGGCGTTGTCTGTCGTTGGGAAGAGGAAGAGAGATGAGAACGACGAGGGGCCGAAGCCACGCCGCGCAAAGAAGGCCAAGGGGCCGAACCCGCTGAGCGTGAAGAAACCGAAGAAGAGGGAAAAACAGAGGCCGGAGGATCAGGGGAAGAAGAACAAGAAGTCGAGTGAGAATTCCGAACAGGGGACTAGCAATGGACCCGGGGCAGAGGGCGAGGCGACTGTCAAGACGAAACGAAAGAGGCGACACAAGAGTTCCAAGGCGGCAGGGGATAAGGCTGGTGGAGAGAATAATAACTCTGAGACAGTCGGAGCAGAACCTGCGGCTTCCGATTCGAAGGAGAACGCTGCGGACTGACGCTCACGAGCCGGACTCGCTTAGATTCG